TGGAGTTTCAGCTTCAGCATCAGTCCTTCCAATGAATATTCAGGACTGATTTCCTTTAGGATGGACTGGTTGGATCTCCTTGCTGTCCACACTCAGTGGGAGGACAATTAGATTCTACCTAGTGAGGGAATTTGGGGATAGATTTAAGACTACCCAGGGTAAGTTCGGGGCTTCCTAGGTGGCACTAGAGGTAAAGAACCCACCTGCCAATGCAGGAGACGCAGATTCAATCCCTGGGTTGGCAACCCACTCCAGCATTCTTTTCTGGAGAATCCCTTGGAATGGATAGAGGAGCCTCTCAGGTGCTACCGTCCATGGGGTTGCAAAGAGTCAGATGCGACAGAAGCGACGTAGTGCACACGCACACATGGGTAGGTATTTAAGTAAACGGTTTCCTCTCTAACTAGACTAAGGGTTCCTTGAGTACTGGACCCACGTTTCTGCAGTTCACTGTGTATCTCTGGCACTTTCCAGAATGCCTGGCAAAGTACAAGTGAAAGAGAGAAAGAAAGGAGGAAAGAAAGGGAGAGGGAAAGAAAGAAGGAAGGAAAAGGGAAGGGAAGGAGTGAAGGAGGGAATGGAGAGAGGGAGGGAAGAAGTCAGTTTTCATTTGAATCCCTGCCCCGGTGAACACTGAACACTGTACGAATCCTGGGGCCTTAGATCTGACTTTGGAGAATGGGGATAATTACAGCTACCTCTCCGGCTGTTCTGAGAAATAAAATAATACAGCCACTGTGATGAATCTGGATTGTCCGGCATGGAAGGGGCTCAACAAACGTCACTTCTCTTCGCCTTCAGCAACACACGCCATCCATCCCAAGGCACGTGGATTCTCCTTCTCACTACGTCTGTCCCAACGCTCCTAATCTGTGCTCCATTCCTGCTGTGGCCACCACACACCCCTTGCTATTGACCTCCTAACAATTCCTTGTGTCTCTAGTTCCACGCAGTCTATGCCCCGCAACCCTATTCATTATCTTCAACTCCAGCCCTGATCATTCACTCCTTTTTCGAAGGGTTTATTTTGTCCAAACCCTCCCACAAACAGGGCCCAGTGGAACTTCCCAACTTCATGCCTCACTAACACCCTAGATACACCCTCTGGGAAGGCTACCGCCCCACAAAGGGTAGAAGGCTGGCATTGAGTCATTCACTTTTGGGTCCTATTGTGGCTACTCTGCCTTGCACTTGGTAAATAAATAGTAAACTTCTGTGCAACTGAATTCCAGATCCCTCTCAGTTCCTTGTTTGTGCCGAGTTAATAATACATCCCAGCTCAGGCGCCAGAGTGACAGAGACACCAACAGCGATGAGTAGAGATTGCACTTTCAGTCACCTGTAACCACATTCTCCTCATGTCTCTACACAAACCAGACGGCTCACAAACAGCAAATTCTTTAGCAATTACAGAGTATAATGTGGGTTACATTTTTCTCACATTCAAGTATCTTCGTTTTAATACTAACAGAACCTCTGTGCTCATTTTTAATGCTCTATAAACCTTTCATTACTGCTAATCACAAGAACATTGCAAATATATTTGAAGAGAGAAAATTCTTAAGTGATTCTGTGTTACATAGATGATAAGCAATGTAAATAAGATTGGGGGGGATTGTCAAATGAATGAAAAGATGAACATGACAATGAGAAATTTCGCCTTTAGATTTCCCTTGCAATGCTATAGAAGTAGACAGTGCTTGCATATTTTTTCCTGAATTTTATCTGTCTCTATTTACAGCTGTGCTGGGTCTTTGTCGCTGCCCGCGGGCTTTCTCTAGTTGCGGTGAGCAGGGCTACTCTCTGGTTGCGGTGCGTGGGCTTCTCAATGAGGGGGCTTCTCTTACCGCAGAGCACAGGCTCCAGAGTCTGTGGGCTCGGTAGTGGTGGCTCATGGGCTCGAGGGCTCACGCAGGCTCAGTAGTTAGGATGCGCTGGCCTAGTTGCCCTGTGGCATGTGGAATCTTCCTGGACCGGGGGTCAGACCTGTGTCCTCTGCACTGGCAGGCGGATTCTTAACCACTGGACCACCAGAGAAATCTTGTTTCCATGTTTTTAAAGAACAAAATCTGCTTAAAACTCACACTCCTATCGTGAATCACTGTGTTGTACACCTGAAACTAATATGACACTGTTAAAAATCAACTATACTTCAATTTAAAAAATCAAAAACACGTACACACAAACCTAGAGAGATGCTGGCTTTTGAGTCATGAATAGGTATCTTTTGGGAACACAGTAAAATTTCAGGCTGAGACTGATATGAAAACCATTTAGATATGCAGAGATATGAAAACTATTTACTTAGTGTCTCCCACATAATAACAAGTGTGTTCAAGTATTTTGACCTTGTAAGATTATTTCCATTCTAGTAGAATGGAGAGATTTTGGAACTTTATTTCCCTGCTCCCCCCTCCCCCCTGCCATTTTCTATAAGGTGCCATGACTGCTTGAATTCCATAAATATGTGTAACCTTCTTCAGGTGGGCAGTGAACAAAACTAATCCTTGTATATAAAGATCAGTAACTTATCACTGATCCATTCCATTAACCTTATAAATATATAAATTTAGTGAACAAATCCACCTCTATATTAGCATTTATGTCTTGAGGTTACTGAAAAAAGAAGATTCTAACAGGATAATAGGGACTTTCACCTTTGGTTAAATGTTTTGTTGTTGTTTCGTTTTGCTTTTTCTATCTTTGGCATTTTATTTTTGTTGTTATTTTAATTGGGGCATAGCTCCCTTACAATGTGGGTTGCTGCTGCACAACGAAGCAGATCAGCCATATGTATACACACATCCCCTCCGTCTTGGACCTCCCTCCCTCCCTCCCCCATCTCACCCATCTAGGTCATCACAGAGCCCCAAGCTGAGCACTCTGCACTCTACAAAGCAGCTTAAGGGTGAATAGGCTCACATAACATTTCAAATTGAGATCCATCAAAAAGCTTCATCTTACAAATGAGAAGACTGAGGGTGAGGATGCTAAGACCTTATGAAAACACACCACATGACAAGAAACCCGTGGCCCTGCATCACATTTCCCCTTGGCATTGTGCCCAACTGTCCAGTGATTACTCTGAGGTACATCAACCTCGGTGCAACTAGCACATTGAAAGTCTAAGTCAAAGTCAAAGTCGCTCAGTCAAGTCTGACTCTTTGTGATCCCTTGGATGATACAGCCCGCGGAATTCTCCAGGCCAGAATGGGTGGGTAGCCTTTCCCTTCTCCAGGGGATCTTCCCAACCCAGAGATTGAACCCTGGTCTCCCGCATTGCAGGTGGATTCTTTACCAGCTGAGCCACAAGGGAAGCCCAAGAATACTGGAGTGGATAGCCTGTCCCTTCTCCAGCAGATCTTCCTGACCCAGGGATTGAACCAGGGTCTCCTGCATTGCAGGCGGATTCTTTACCAACTGAGCTATGAGGGAAGCTCAAGTGAAAGTCGCTCAGTCATGTCTGACTCTTTGTGACCTCATGAACTATATGGTCCATGGAATTCTCCAGGCCAGAATACTGGAGTGGGTAGCCTTTCCCTTCTCCAGGGGATCTTCCCAACCCAGGGACTGAACCCAGGTCTCCCTCATTGCAGGTGGATTCTTTACAGCTTGAGCCATAAAGGAAGCCTGGGCCAAACAATTCTTCATTGTTGTGATGTTGTCCTGTGCATGGCGGGATGTCCAGCAGCATCCCTGGCCTCTCCTCTCTAAATGCAAGTAGCACCCCCATCCTAGGCAAGACAACAACTAGAATTTTCTGAATGTCCCTTGAGGGCATCAACCCCCGTTAATAACAACTGGTCTACCCCAGGCCATATTAGGTCTTTAATCAACTATTCTGTTTTATGTTTTCTGGGCAAATACTTTAAGACATTAATGCATCATTGCAGGATAGAGCTCTAAATTATTTATTTGAGAAACTACAATCCTACCAAGAAAAGAGACTTCGCTGCTTTTTGGCACTTCCAAATACAACTAAGAGCAAATTCTGACTAGGGTTAGCTTATGCCAACTTTTAGCATAAATTAAGGTTAAGAAAGAAACAAAATACAGACTGGAGAGTTTTGATCCATGTTTAATGAAAAAGAAATTACAAGAATAGAAATGGACATAAAACAAAGAGATCAATTTGGGGAAATATTGTGATAGATAGAACAGGGGAAAATCATTTTAATCCTGAACTTACTCATGTATTCTTATTAGTTATCACTGACCCAAAACAGAGGGGTAGTTAGAATTTTATTGATGTTTACATGGGAACTCACCAAAGTAATGTCCAAACAATACCTTTCCATTTCCCCCAGAACACACACAAGCAAAGGCAGAAATGTTTACCAGGAGGTAATGTGGTGTGAAGAAAATGCACCTTTATCAGTTTTTTATTACAACAGCAAGTTAGCACTACAAATGTGGGCTGACACAGACATACCTGCTGCTAATATTTTCATAAGAAAGCTTTTATGGTATGCAACCATGCATTCTTAGTGCAATCAATCATGGAGGGATTAAACCTAACTGGTGAACATAAATATATGCAGTGAAGTATCTGACAGTTCACATTGGAGCACAGTTGAAAAATTAAAGACATGAAATTTAAAAATACACCAATGTAAAACTGCAGCGGGCATCTTACTAGGCTGTTTCATGGCCGAATTCTGCTTGTGATTCTTAGTAGAAACAGTCAATGTTCTCTATCATTTTCTACCCGGATACATACAGTATGATCATATCTTGCTAAATAAGGAAAAAAAGGTTTTGAAATGAATTCTGATCTCTAAAAACATTCGGTAAAGGTTTGCTCTCTTTATCTTATTTAAAAGAAAATAGCCCTTCTGTCCAACTAGATTGGCAAGCATGCAATCATTAGTGTAGACCTTGGCCGTGTGTGTAATAAGGAGAAGCGACAGATTTTACTAGCTACCCCTTGAAAATAAAACATGTTTTGGCCAGTGCTCAGCAGTCACCAACCTCTTATGCTCACATTGAATCATGTCAGGTTAGGACGAGCCCTGTCTCTTCTGATACTGTATTCTGAGTTTCTCCAGTTGTTCTACACACTGGGACTGGGCCAGCTTCAGCGTCCGATTCTCCTCCGTCAGGGCCTCGAATTCCCGAGCCAGCTGAGCGGCATCCAGCTTCTCCTTCTCTGCCTGATCCAGCTTGGCAATGAGCTCCTTTCTGAAGATGCATGGGGCAGGTGAGGCAGAAGCACAAAACATAATGAAAGAAATTAAATTACACAGCAACAGCATACTGGAAGCCGAATATGTCGTTCCGCTCTGCTAAATCGGACACATTTCTGCTTCTCCAATGACTTACTTTCATTTTTCCAGCTTCACAAATGTTACCTCCCTTTATTTTATTCCAGCACCTCTATTAGGTATATCCAAAATATTTAAAATACATTTCCATAAAGCTCAATAAGTCCATCAACAGTCAGAAAGGTGATCCTTTAAAGAGCTCAACAAACTGTAAATGTTACCACTATTTTGGAGAAAAGAAGCAGAAAATTTTGTTTACAACTTAAGATGCTATTGTCTTAAAGGTAGGGGGACTATAGTTTGTCCCTTATCGATTAATAAGTTTTGTCCTCCAAGTTTAGATATTACTTCTCTTGTTTTCTGAGTTTAACAAACCTTGACTAAGTTGCTTTGAACTAAGAAATTCCAGTTGCTTCCTGCAGGTTTTATTTTCCATGTCTTTCTCTAGTCCTTATGTATATCTTGTCACTTTAACTACAAAATGATGTGCCTACATTTGGTAGGAGTCTGACTTGAGAATTCAGGAAGCAGGCTAAGGTTATTGGAGGGAGTCTGTAGTGATAATGCCTTAAACAAAATCAGTTTTCAATAAATATTTGCAAATAGTTCATTGATATAAATACACATAATAAAGAGCTAAAGATTTGGGAGTCCATGTTTAGATTTAATAAATTGGGGGTGGGGGGCACACAATCCCATGGACTGTAGCCTGCCAGGCTCCTCCCTCCATGAGATTTCCTAGGTAAGAATCCTGGAGTGAGTTGCCATTTCCTATTGCAGGGGATCTTCCCAATCCAGAGATTAAGCCCGCATCTCTTGCATCTCCGGCATTGGCAGGCAGATTCTTTACCACTAGAGCCACCTATAAAGCCATTAATAAACATGACAACCCAAAACAGGTCCACTCCACTTATATGTCAGTTAATCCTAAACTAGATTTAACTGAATTCTCCTTTACCTCCACATAAGGGTATGTTGCATTTCTTCCTTCTCTGTAGGAAAAAGTGCAGAGACCTGGAAGACCACTTGAACCAGGAGATCAAACTTGACATTTCTAGTAATGAGGTCAGCAGATGTTGCATGCATCACAAAAGACCCCACATCTTTTCTGTGGTGTGTGCCTGCTCTGCTACGTCACAAAGGCTGACTCTTTGTGACCCTATGGACTGCAGCCCTGCAGGCTCCTCTGTCCATGGGATTCTCCAAAGAAGAATACTGGAGTGGGTTATCATGCTCCTCCAGGAGATCTTCCCCACACAGGGATTGAACCCATGTCTCATGTTTCCTGCGTTAGCAAGCAGATTCTTTACTACCACTAGTGCCACCTGGGTATTCCTTCCAAAACATGCCAATACCAGACAACCTCAAACTGAGGGAAATGCTAAAAAAAAAATAGCTCTCCTGTACTCTTCAAAATGTTAAAAACAACTGTTTCACATTTTAAAACACTAAAGAGAAATGACAACAAAATCAATATGCAATTCTGGACTGGAAAAAAAAAAAGCTGTGAAGGACATTATTGGGAGAGTGATGCAATTTCTTGTTGCTGTTGTTTAGTTGCTAAGTCATGTCCAACTTTTTGTGAACCAAGGACTGTAGCCCACCAGGCTTCTCTGTCCATGGGATTTCCCAGGCAAGGATACTAGAGTGGGTAGCCATTTCCTTTTCCAGGGGATCTTACAGATCCAAGAATCAAACCCATGTCTCCTGCATTTGTATATGGATTCTTGACAGCTGAGCCACTAGGGGATGCGGTTTAAATACAGGCTATGAATTAGATAACAGCATGTGTCAATGCTAAATTTCTTAATTTTAATTATTGTGCTGAGGTCAAGTGACAGAAAGTTCTTGTCCTTAGAAAACATTACTAAAGTATTTAGGACAATGGAGCTTGATAGAGATATAGATATTGAAATTGACATACACATATATATCTGTATATATACATGTGATATAAAAAGATACATATCCTACCTCTCTCAGAGAGAAAGAACCCCAGTAGTGTGCAGCTTTTGGGAGAGGGAGAATAAACCACAACTGGGGAAATTTTTAATAATTAGTGAATGCAATAAAGGAAATATGGGGGTTCTTCATACCATTTTTGCAACTTTTCCATAAATTTGAAGCTATCAAAATAAACAGTTGCCTTAGAAAAAGGGCCAAAACAAATAAGAGTAGAAGTTCTAGTATTTTCTTCCTGCATTCAATGGACTACCTTCTATACCCAATTTGGTGACCACTGAGTAGTGATCATGTATGGGTGTGAGAGTTGGACTGTGAAGAAAGCTGAGCACTGAAAAACTGATGCTTTTGAACTGTGGTGTTGCAGAAGACTCTTGAGAGTCCCTTGGACTGCAAGGAGATCCAACCAGTCCATCCTAAAGGAGATCAGTCCTGGGTGTTCGTGGGAAGGACTGATGCTGAAGCTGAAACTCCAGTATTTTGGCCACCTCATGAGAAGAATTGACTCAATGGAAAAGACCGTGATGCTGGGAGGGATTGGGGGCAGGAGGAGAAGGGGACGACAGAGGATGAGATAGCTGGATGGCATCACCGATTCGATGGACATGAGTTTGAGTAAACTCCGGGAGTTGGTGATGGACAGGGAGGCCTGGCGTGCTGCGATTCATGGGGTTGCAAAGAGTCGGACACGACTGAGAGACTGAACTGAACTGAACTGACTGAGCAAAACCAGCCATTGGAAAGAAACAGCCCAACAGGGACAAAGGGAAGATAACCTGGAACACTGATGTGCATATACACAAAGTTCCTTTGGGCTCTAATTGATCTTTGAATCTTCCATGGTGTTTAGAATACAAAAGCTCCCAAAGACAAATTAGAAGTTTGGGATTAACATAAACACACTACCATATACGAAATAGATAAATAACAAGGACCTACTGTGTAGCATGAGGAACTATACTCAAATCTGAAAAGAATCTGAAAAGGAATTTCTATGTTTATATATACATAACTGAGTAATTTTTCTGTACACCTGAAACTAAGATAACATTGCAAATTAACTATACTTAAATGGTTTAAAATGGTTTTTAAAACTGGTTTGAAAAAAGAATATAGGGAATCCCCCAGCAATCCAATGGTTAGGACCTCACATTTCCACTGCAGGAGGCATGGGCTTGATCCCTGATCAGGTTCAGTGTGGCCAAAGGGGCGGGGGGGAATATAAAGTCTGCAAAAAAATACTTGTTGATTAAATATAATTGGAGAGTAAGGTACCTCAGGGTCAACACATGTTTTAAAGATAAAGAAATAGAAACTCAAAGTACTTAATCTAATTGGGAAAAGTCACACACCTATTAAGAAACAGCTGTGAATTGAACCTATCCTTCTGATTAAATGTTTAAGGTTCTCGCCTCTAAACTTAGCTTAAGCAATAAATGTTAATCATTAAATGTTATGTAATTATGGGCTTATGGGCGGCAAAGAATCCACCTGCAATGCAGGAGATGTGGGTTTGATCCCTGAATTGGGAAGATACCCTGAAGGAGGGCATGGCAACCCACTCCAGTATTTCTGCCTGGAGAATCCCATGAAGAGAGGAGCTTGGCAGGCTACAGTCCATAGGGTCACAAGGAGTCAGACACAACTGAAGTGACAGCATACACACACAGTTTCTTATGTAACTATCTTAAAGAAATTGATCATAAAACTTATGTAAGTAAAAAGAGACATGCCTCCAAATCCCTCACCCATTAGATCATCTATTCCTGTTCTTTTCATCTCTTCAAATTAACTGTGTCACACAAACAGTGGCTACTTTCCAGGTTCCATATCTGATCTTGTTTAAAACTCCTGAGGACATCCATTACCAGTTTTAACTGGTAGGGAAAATAAATCACAAAATCACAGATTTTACAACTAAAAGGAATGGTCATGATTGTCTAATCCAATCTTCTAGTGTCGGAGAAAGTCAATAATAATTTATTCCTTACTGGAATCAAGAAGACTCAATTGATAGGTCTCTAAATTAGTTTCATGTATTTGATAAGCAATTCTACATCTATTTAATGAATACTGTCAAAATGTCTATTGCCTCCTGTCCAAGACCTATTTATAAAGACAAATTGATGCTCATCCATTGTGCTGTGCTGTGCTTAATCGCTCAGTCATGTCTGACTCTTTGCAACCCCATGGACTGTAGCCCGCCAGGTTCCTCTGTCCATTGGGATTCTGCCGGCAAGAATACTGGAGTGGGTTGCCATGCCTTCCGCCAGAGGATCTTCTCAACCAAGGGATTAAACCCAGGTTTCCCGTTTATATAGACAAATTGATATTTATCCATTAGCAATTCATAATTAAATCCTGGCACATCAAGCTACAAAGACAATCTTATACATAGATGATCTGAAGAACAAGTCAATATGTATAACTGACTAGATAGGGTCTTGCTTTGAATTCTTATTTATCATTTCTATCATTCCCTTCAAAAGAGTTTTGATAAAGGTGCAGAAGAACATCATTACAGGAATCTTATTTCTGATGTCAAGAACCTGTAACAGTTTTCCACATGATGCTCCTCAACAGTGAAAAGGTCATAACCTTGGCTGCACCAGAGATGATCTGTTGTCCCCATCCTAAGCTGCATGCCTGGCAAAGGTTTTATTTGCTAAAACAAATAGGAAAAGGGGAAATCCTAGTGAGCTGGTAGAAAGAACTTGAAGACTTTCTGCAAAGTAATTCCAAAATGAAGGATATTCTTTATGTTGTAGGAGGTTGGAAATAGATTCATCATTAGGACAAATATTTCTCTGTTTCTATGAAGACCACTACTATGGCTCTTTGAACTTTCAAAGCTAACTAAAGATTTTCATTTGGAAAAGAGAAATCCTAGGCAGGTTAGCCCCTAGGAGCTAAAGTATTATAAATAATAAAGTAATAAAATGCTATCTCCATCAC